TACTTGGTGGAGATACATTATTTATGTTTTTCGTGTTATTATTTTTTCTCTGTGACTTTGACATGTGGATTTTTATCCTAGTTTCTGATTCTTGTGTAAGACTCAAGCCTTCCTTTGTTGAGTTTAGATCTGCTTCTTTTTGTAAACTTTATGTGCCTTTGTGGTTTACTTGTTGGGCATGAAAAGCTGGTTGGTCTAGGCTTCAGGTTCTCTCTTTTGATTTTATATTGGAGTGGCCAGATTGCTTTTGTCTTCAGGAGTTCCCACAGAGGCCCAAGTGAGATGAGGCTCAGATGCTCTCAGGCTTTCTCCTAAGGTCTGGGTCCCTCCAGGAAAGATGCTGCCCTCAGGAATTTGGGGGCTGGGCTGGCCTGGGAGTAGGGCCCAGGAAAGATGCTGGTCCAGGCTCTTCTGACTTTCATAGTTTGCATTGAAAAGTCAGCTGTAATTCTAGCTGGGCATGGTGGTGCATGCCTTTAATTCCAGCACTTGAGAGCAGAGGCAGGCGGATCTCTGTGAGATCCAGGTCAGCAGGCTGGCCTCCAACTCACAGAGATCTGCCTGCCTCTGCCTCCCGAGTGCTGGAATTAAAGACATGTGCCACCACACCTGGCAGGTCTTTGATTTCTTATTCCTATTTTTCCCCTTTAAACATCATTTTGTGTGTGTGTGTGTAAAATTATAAGGCTGGGCATGGTGGCGCACGCCTGTAGTCCCTGCACTTGGGAGGCAGAGGCAAGTGGATCTCTGTGAGTTCAAGGCCGGCCTGGTCTACATAGTCAGTTCCAGGACAGCTGGGGCTACAGGGAGACCCTGTCTCAAAAAGAATTATATATTAAATGTCATTTTGTGTGAATATATATATATATATACATATATATATTATATAACATAACCTGTTTCACTACATAGTGAAGTTCCAGTCCAGCTGGAGCTGGAGGGAGACCCTGTCTCAAAAAGACAAAAAGACAAAATGAAAAAAAAAGTCAGCTGTAATTCTGATGGGGTTTCCTTATATGTGACTTGTTTTTCTCTTGCAGTTTTCATTATTCTTTTTCTGTATTTTTACCATGATATGCCATGGGGAGTTTCTGTTCGAGTCCTGTCTATTTGGTGTTCTGTGTGCTTCTTGTATATGTATGGGTATGTTTTTCCTTATTTTAGGGAGGTGTCTATAATTCTGTTGAAGATCTGGTCATGCCATTAACCTGGGATTCTTCTTCCTCTATGCCTATGATGTGTAAATTTGGTCTTTTCATGGTGTCCCACATTTCCTGCATATTCCATTCCTGTGTTTAATTTTTTTTTCTTATACTTTATCTGAGCCGTCCAATTCTTCAACTTTATTGTCCAGTCTTGATATTGTTTTCCATTTCATTCATTCTGTTGGTGAGATTTTCTCCTGTCATTTCAAATTGGTTTATTGAGTTTTTCAATTCCTTCTCCATTTCAGCCTGAGTTTTCTTTAATATTTCTACCTCTTTTGTGAATTCAATTTTCAAATCCTGTATTGTTTTTGTCATTTCATTCATCCATGTATTTGTATTTTCTTGAGCTTCAGTCAGAAGTTTATCCCTATCCTCTTTGAGTTCTTTGAGTTGTTCATGCATTCTTTAAATTTGTTAAATTCTTTGCTCTTGTTTATGACTGTCCTTTTAAATTCTGTGTCCTGGGTTTCCTCTAGGAAGTTCTCTTTGTAGCACCCTTCTTTAGGGCTGGTGGTGTTTGGTGGGGACATACTATTTTGGTTTTTCATATTATTATTTTTTCTTGTGGTTTGGGCATGTGGATTTCTTTCGTTGCTTGTGATTCTGGTATGAAACTCAAGCTTGCGTTTATTGTATTCTGTTTGTATTATTGATGTTGCTTGGTTGCTTTCTGATCAGGTATGAAAAATTGGTTGGTGTGGTCTTCAGGTTTTCTTCTTTGATTCCATATTGGAGGGACCAGATGGATCCAGGCAGGCTACTCAGGAGCTCTCCAGGAGGGCGAAGGAGCCCTAGTTAGTTAGTTAGAAGGAGCCCTGGCTAGTTAGCTACATTCTGTAACCTCAGCTAGATGGGACCAAGACTCAAGGAGAGGCAATGAGAACAGAATGGGCTGGCCCCTACTAGCTAGCAGGGAAGCCTAAGCCCTGGAGCAGTGGGGAGGGACTGGAGATGATCCCAGAGCAGGGGGATGGGTGCAGCAGGATTTGGGCAACTCACCCCAGGAGAAGGGCCTTTTTTTTTTTTTTTTTAAAGTAGAATCTCACTGTGTAACTCAGGGTGGCCTCAAACTTGTAATCCTCCTGAGTGTTAGGATTATGGAGGCTGTCACCATCCCTCACTTCTTTTTATGTGTATGCATGTGTTGCCAGCATGTAGGTCAGTGCACCCATGTCATGCAATGCCCGAGGAGGTAGAAGAGGCTGTCGGATCCCCTGGGAATGGAGTTATTGACAGTTGTTAGCTGCCATGTGGGTGCTGGGATTTGAACCTGGGTTCTTCTGCAAGAACAACCAGTGTTCTTAACTGCTGAGCCATGAGCCATCTCTCCAGCCCCTTTACTCATTTTTTTTTTTTTCTTCAGTTGTTGGGTACTGAACCCATGGCCTCACACATGCTACATTAATACTCTACCACTGAGTCTCCATTCTCTCTCTCTCTCTCTCTCTCCCTCTCTCTCTCTCTCTGTCTCACTCTCTTTATCTCTCTCTGACCCCTCTATCTCTCTGTCTCTGTCTCTGTTCTGTCTCTGTCTCTCTCTTTCTGTCTCTCTGAGACAAAGAAGAAAAAAAACCCAGGCTGCCTTGGACTGGTGGCAGTCCTCCCACCTCTGTCATTTAAGTGTTGGGAGTATAGGCTGTGAGCCACTGTGCTTGGCATCTCTTTTTAGCTTTTGAGACAGCATCTCACTAAGTTGTCCAAAATGGCCTTGAACCCAAAATTCACTTTTTAGGTCATGTTTTTACAATAATATGATACTTCTATTTTATCTATTAATCCATTGGGGGTTATTTTTGAGGGGTTTTTAATTTTTTTTTTTTTTTTTTTTTTTTTTTTTTTTTTTTTTTTTTCTTTTTTTTTTTGTCTTTTCGAGACAGAGTCTTCCTGTAGCCCCAGCTGTCCTGGAACTCACTATGTAGACCAGGCTGGCCTTGAACTCACAGAAATCCATCTGCTTCTGCCTCCTGAGTGCTGGGATTAAAGGCATGCGCCACTACGCCTGGCGGGGTTTTTTAATTTTTAACATTTAAAACAACATAGGATATAATTTAGCAAATAAAATATAACTTGTTTTTATATGTAAACTATATTTATAGTAGTTCCTTTTAGAATTAGTGTTAGCCATGCATCGTGGCCCAGGCCTGTAATCCAAGCATTTGGGAGATAGAGGCAAGAAGATCTGGAGTTCAAGGCCATAGTTAATTTGAGGCCATCCTGGGCTATAAGACCCTGTCTCAAGAAAAACTTTTTTAGAAAAGGAAAGAATTGGTTAGTTTCTGTGGTATTCTGGTTACTTATTGCTCTTCCAAGCATATCAGCTTGGGATAGTCCTTTGTTATCTCCTCTCAGGACCCTACAGGCTGGTTGCCCTCAGCTCTGAAGCTGTTGTTGCTTAAGGGTCTTACGCAACTGTAGTTAGAGAGTGGATGGAGCTAGGATCATTCACACAGTGAATGCAGGCAGTTCAGCTGGGCTGCTAACCCTGAGTCCCTGCTCCACCTACCCTAGTGGCTGAAGTGTAAGAGACTGGAGACAAGAAGTGGAGGTTGCTAGTTCCTTGAGGTCTAGACCCCAAAACTGATCACTTTGTCATTTCCTATTGACCAGACCAGGCACAGAGCTACCCAGATTCAAGGGGCAGGGATGGAGACTTTAACCCCACCTTTAGGGAACGACAAAGAATTTGTGGCTATTTTTAACTTAGGTTATATTTTTGTATTAAAACTTAACAAATGCCTCTAGGACCCATGTGATTCTTTATTTTCCTATAACATTAAACAGATTTAACAAGTTCCGTGTACAGTGAGATGTTTTTTGGCCCAGAAGAGTTTGACTTCTTTCAGGTTGGATTTGATACTGAGATAACATTTTGCTTTAAAGAACTGAAGGTAGGCAAACACGTGTCAAATTTAAATTCAAAATTTCACTGGTACTTTTTAAAAATAAAGACTTAACTACTGTCTTTTCTTCTTCCTTCAGGGGATATTGACATTTTCAGAAGCTATACATGCTCCTATATCCATCTATTTTGACTTGCCTGGGAAGTAGGTCCTTGAGAACTTTCTTGAATTTGTTTCTTTTCTTTTGTCAAATATACATAACAAACCCTTCTGATCATAGTGAAATTGATTTACACTACAAGAGCTCCTTAACTTTGCTCACAACATTTATCAAACTAAAATTTTGAAAGATACCATAAATTGGTATTTTAAAATTGGTAATTTGGCTGTCATGGTGGTACACACCTTTAATCCCAGCATTTAGGAGGTAGAGGCAGGTGAATCTCTTTGAGTTCAAGGCCAACCTGGTCTGCATGGCAAGTTCCAGGTGAGCCAGGGCTTCAGGGAAACCTTGTCTAAAAAAAAAATAGTAATTTAGAGGCTGGAGAGATGGCTCAGTGGTTAGGGGCACTGACTGCTCTTGCAGAGGACCTGGGTTCAATTCCCAGCACTCACATGGCGGCTACAAACTGTCCTTAACTCCAGTTCCAGGGGATCTGATGCCCTCTTCTGGCCTCCGAGGCATTGTACGACACGGGTGCACTCACATGCATGCAAGCAATACACTCATACACATGGGATAAAAATAATAAATAAAATATATTAAAAAAATAGTAATTTGGCCAGATATGGTAATATGTGCCTGCAATCCCATCACATAGGATGTCAAGGAAGCAGGATCAGGAGTTCAAGGAGTTAAGGCTAGCCATGGCTACACAGTAAGTTCGAAGCCAGCCTGTGCTATGAAACACTGTCTCAAAAAGATTAAAAATAGCCAGATGTGGTGGCGCACGCCTTTAATCCCAGCACTCTCGAAGCAGAGGCGGGCAGAACTGGATCTCTGTGAGTTCAAGGCCAGCCTGGTCTACATAGTGAGGTCCAGGACAGCTGAGGCTATGGGGAGACCCTGTTTCAAAAAGACCAATAAATAAATAAATAAATAAAATAAATAGATATTTTGAGAAAGACAGATTCTTCTGCAGTATGAAACATTTGACTCCTGACAAAGTTTTCTAATTAGAAGATTATACATTGCTTAAATGAGTCAAATTTCTATGTATGTAAATCCTTTTTTTTTTAATTTTTATTTATTTATGTGTATGCGTTTATTGCCTGCATGTGCACCTGTGTCATACTAAGCCCATGGAGGACAGAAGAGGCTGTCAGATCCCCTGGAACTGGAGTTACACACAGTTGTTAGTTGCCATGTGGGTGCTGGGATTCGAACCCAGGACTTCTGCAAGAACAACCAGTGTTCTTAACCACTGAGCCATCTCTCCAGCCCCCCAGTGACATTCTTTACAGAATTAGAAAAAAAAATCCTAAGATTCATATGGAAGCACAAAAGACCTCAGATAGCCAAAGCAACCCTGAGCACTATTATATAAGACAATATTATAATATATAATAAAAGCTTTAAAACATTGAAGAGGGGCTGGAGAGATGGCTCAGTGGTTAAGAACACTGGTTGTTATTGCAGAAGACCTGGGTTTGAGTCCCAGCACCCACATGGCAGCTAACAACTGTCTGTAACTCCGGTCCAGGGGATCTGACAGCCTCTTCTGTCCTCCGCAGGCATCGCACAACACAGGTGCACTTACCTACACGCAGGCAATACACACATAGACATTAAAATAAATAAATAAATAAAATACTAAAAAAAACCCGGTTTATTTTAAAAAGTGTTTTGCCTGAATGTATATATGTACCATGTACATGCAGTGCCTGTGGAGGTCAAAAGAGGGCATCAGATCCCTTGGAACTGGAGTAACAGTTGTGGGCTGCCATATGGGTGCTGGGAACCGAACCTGGGTCCTCAGTAAGAGCAGCCAGTGCTCCTAGCACTGAGCCATCTCTCCCACCCCCTGTATATAAATGTTTAGTGTATAAAAGTAAAATTTTATCAGACTGGCTCCTATGATTGCTAAGGGCTTTTCAGCTCTTTGGACTGTTAAACTGTGAAAACACAGAACATCTAATTGTACTGTTTCCTTTATTCTAGGGTTCAGTATAATTTTTTAAAGTGTTCCTACTGTCCATCAGAAAATGAGTGTTATTTTTGCCATCTTTTTAGACCAGTTATTCTAAGTATTGATGACATGCTGCTGGAAGCTAACTTTATCTTGGCCACATTATCTGATTACCCAAGTAAAGCGTCTTCACCACAATCACTGTGTCTTTCCCAGGCGAGAAGGTAAAGCTGTGGTGTTTTTTTTGTTTTTGTTTTGTTTTGTTTTATATTTGTGTGTGTGTTCATGTATGTCAGTGTGGGTATTCATCTGCCACAGAGCATGTGTGGAAGTTGGACAAACTTGGGCATTAGTCTTTGCCTTCTACTTTGACACAGGGTATCTTGCTGTTCACTTTTGCATATACCAGACTACCATATGAGCTGCTTGGGATTCTCCTGTTTCTGCCTCCTATCTTGCCATAAAACCACTGGGATTACAGATGTGCACTAATCCATCTGGCTTTAGATGGGTTCTGAGGAGATGGACTCAGGTCCTCATACTTGCAAAGCAAGCACTTTACCCACTGAGCCATCTCTTCAACCCAAAGCCTGCATTTTAATTTTATTCTGAAACAATTCAGGGATATCCAATTAGGAAACAATTGAGAAGTGAAACAGAGGATCATAAAGTCAAGGTCAATCTTAACTACTAGCCTGGGCTATGTGAGACCCTGTCTCAAAACACAAAACAAATCAAAGCGTAAGAGTGTTAAGTTTCACAGGAAAGTTTGCATTTATTACCTAGAATTCTGCCTCAGATGTAGGGGTGGCCATTAATTGTCAATCTTTCTCTTTCTTTCTTTCTTTCTTTCTTTCTTTCTTTCTTTCTTTCTTTCTTTCTTTCTTTCTTTCTTTCTTTCTTTCTTTCTTTCTTTTTTCTCCTATGACTCTTTTGAAGGAGTAAGATGTGCTTCACTTTAAAGTCACTTTAAAATCACTTTAAAGTTACTAGGGGAATGTGAGAAGTAAAAAGAAAACTCACCTATAATTTTGCGACTTAGAGACAGAGTCATTAACATTTTGGCTGAGTGTTTTCTTCCAGACTTTTTATTTTGCACATAGTTATCTTTAATTTTTGCACATTAAAAATTTTTATTGATGATTTACTAAATACCAGGCATTCTTCTTGCTGAAGAACTTATAGCTGAATATTTGCTTGTACTAAATGGTAGGTTCCTGCTCCTCCTTCCAAAATGTCTGTTTGAATTTGTACTTAATGATATGTTTGATAAGATGCTGGATCTGCCTTTAAATATATTTCTCATCTACATCTAGGACACACACATAAGACCTTTCTAAACCTTCAAGCCAATCTCAAACTTCTCTGAATATGTGCCAGTTTACAGAACACGTGGGCATATAAAATGCTTCTATTTTTATTCTGAACTTGTATTTGTTGAAGAAGGGGACTGTATTAGTCAGGGTTCTCTAAAGAAACAGAACCAGTAGAATGAATAATATATACGCATGCATACATACATATATATATGTATAT